CGCTCTATTATATTATTATATTATTATCATTATTATTATCATTATTATTATCGTTATTATTATTATTATTATTGTTATTGTTATTATTAGATCAGGGATTAGTATGGCCACCGGTCATGCATCAAGAGAGCTCACGCTACTTCTCATCCTTATGGTTTTTCGGGCATCATTTCTCCCTCCCGATACCAAAAACGAAAAGCTAAATGCTATTAGAAGCAAAGTAATCAGCTTACTTGGTTGTAATTTTTCCCTCGATTTGCTTCAAATTTTCCTCAAATTTTTTATCACAATTATCTGTCATCTTATTGGCTAKAATCATTTTCTATTGTTCATAATCCAATCAAAAGCGATAATTCCGTTTGTAATTTGCACTGTGTTACACTTTTCTGCACTGTATTACGTTTGAATGACACTGCTCTAAGTCAATCAGAATTGAGTTAWTTTTTCATGTATGTTATTATATAAATAATAGAGTCCCTTTTTTTCTTAAAAAAATAAGAACCTGTTTAGAAACCTAAATTTCTAGGAAACACCATTTGTATAAGAACCTTTTTAGGCTAGCTTGGAGACAATGTAGTTTCTTAAACGCGGGTTTTACTGTAGCCATATCATTGGAAAGTATATATCACCCCTATATATATTGATAATAATATGATAWTTTTTCATAATTAGCGCACAGGAAAAAATTTCAGTGAATAATAAAATGAAACATTTTACTAAAATTTTTTGCGGGAATGTTAATGGCAAATTCTTTCCTTTCAGTGGCATTTTCCCAACTATACAAATTCTATGTCATGGTTATATTTCTTTTTTCCTTAATAATCTACTGGGCTGAAGCTTTATATTGCCGCAAAGTAAAGGTTTGTTGGAAAGATAAAGGAAACAAGATTTATATTTTCTTGGAAAAGAATCRAAAAGAAAACAATTGGCCTAATTTGTGATATATCTTTTGTCAATGCAACAGATCATCACGCACAAGGCTCCAAGAGAGTTGTAGCCAACAASCCCAACCCGAATATTAACGCATTTGCCAATGACATCAACAAGTGTCTTTTCACCAAGTGGACAACTGCGTCAGGTAGCAAAAACGCGGTGCTGAGTGAACCAGTCCAATGTAAAGGACAAGGAGGAACAGCCGTGCAGCTCTGTTATGGCACAGCACCACCTGTAGCACAATTTGCTGTTTGTTACAACACCAACACACTTATCCCAGACTTTACGGGTCACATAGTGAGGAGAGATATCCAGGGTGGTGGAAGAGACTCTGACTGGAGGGCAGACGTAGGARCGTTTGGTAATACTTTTGCAT